CTCCCTCTCTCTCTCCCCCCCCCCTCTCTCTCTCTCTGGTGCGCGCACCAGAGCGGACGCGTTTTTCATTTTCGGGAGCACCAACAGTTATTGAGAAGTGGAAGTGGCTGGGTTTGTTCAGAGAGATGCATGTGTTTTCTTCCCTGAGACCCACAGCAGAGAGGAGACCCTCAAAGTGGTCGATATAACAGCAGACAGAGAACCGAGGAGAGTGGGGGGCAGCATTCAGAGATAAAGGATACACACGTCGTCAGGACAAACTTGGAGAAGAAAGTGGAGAGGACCAGGAGCATGCACCATGAGTAACCACAGCATCGGAGTGGGGGGGCTGCAGCCCCTCTGGAACTACAATGGTGAGTGACAGCTCTCTGACCCATGTTTAAACAACACAGTGAATTATATGTGAGTTTAACAGCCACACTCATATTGATTTGAATGTGGCATCTCGATCACACTCACTACTAGTGCGGGCACTTAAGAGCAAAATCCAATTATTTCATTCCTAATTATTTCACTTTCTAATATTATTTGCCAGTGCCTCAGAAAAAAAGTACATTCAGAATATGAAATTGTTTATACTGTATATATATATATAACCCTTTTCTATATATTTTATGTATTTGAATAAGTATTGATAACACACACGTTCTGCGAATACTGGTTAATACTCGTTATGTTGTTTTAAAAGAACATGGTCAAAATGTCCACTTTCACTGATAATAACTGAAGGTGTGTATGGATGAGTTTTTATTTGTTGTTTATAATAACAGCATGTTGTCCAAGAATATATTTTGTATTTCCCTACTAATAACTGATCAATGAAATGCCCTTGCGGGTGACTGCCGTGATTTGATTTCCACATGATCACTCATAAACACTAAGTGACTGAAGGAGATGCTTTTGTTTGCGCTTCCTCGCGATGAGGATGAGGAGGATGAAGGAGCGCAGGAAGAGAGGAGGTGGAGAAGGTGGAGATAACAAACACAGAATAAGGTTTTCAGAAATGAATAAACTCCTCCTCTCACCTTCCCTCCTCTTTCCATGTTTTTCTGAAATATAAAAGGCTGGAAAGAGAAGATATAATTGGCTTGATTGATTATGCCACAAAAACGATCCTACGTGTGTGTGTGTGTGTGTGTGTGTGTGTGTGTGTGTGTGTGTGTGTGTGTGTGTGTGTGTGTGTGTGTGTGTGTGTGTGTGTGTGTGTGTGTGTGTTGCACGCTGCCACACACTCTGGGTAATGAGTTAATGAGTCTTTTGGTTACTAAAGGAAAAATAATTACAAGAGTCTCCGTACCATAGAATGATTGACAGCGCTGAGTTGGAGATAAAACATCGGGGGGTTGATGTGAAATTCCCCCTCGTCTGGATATTCTCCGATTCCTCCCCCGTCTCCTCCCCTCCATCAGCAGCTCCTCTCTCCTCCTCGCTCCCTCTCATGTCTCCTCTCTTCCTTCTGCTCTCCTAATTCCATCCTATATAGATCTCAGCTCCTACCGAGGACAGATCCCCGTGGTGTGTTTGTGTGGTGGAATTACGTGTTTGTGTAAAGATGTATGATTATCTGTGTGTCTATTTATCTATGCAAAAAAGCATACGTGTACATGTTTTGTGGTTAAACTAAGTAGATTACTCAATATCTCGGGGTTACTTTATCATAACCTAATATTGATCTCACCAAGAATCTAGTTTCTACATTTTTTTGAAACTAGAAAAAACAGAAACGCCCTGTTGAAATAAATGATACAACTTGCTTTGATTTAGAGTAAGCGACATGTTGATTTGTGGAGATGTTAAAAGTAATAGTTCAGTGTTGTTTGTCTCGCACTTACAGCTTGTTTCTAAATGATGCTTATTACTCCTGACATCTCTGATGGATTGCTGCTCAGATGATGGGGGGGGGGTGTCCCCGCTCTGCCTTCCTGTCACTCTGGATATAGAGAATAGAGTGTGTGACTGAGTTGATTTATTCTACAACATTTGCAGTCTTGCTCCACAGCATGTACTGCTGCCTCCACTAGAGGGCGCTGTGATGTTGGTCAACAAAGTTTGGTTTAGAGAAAAAAGAAGAAGCATCCCTGCGGTCTGTGAGATATGATCTATTTTAATTTAGGACAAATGCAATGAAATGTTTGCCAGCCTTACAGACTGCATTAATAGTTGTTTTTGTTTCTCTATTTGGGAGAAGCTCTCGATGCTGTTGGCTTCTGTCTTCTTCTTCTGTATTCATTTGCGTGATGAATCCTCTGTGGTCCCGTTTGGCTGCTAGTGGCAGGGCCGGCCCTTGGCATAGGCAGTATTGGCGAATGCTAAGGGCGCATCAATCAATGGGGGGCACCGGAAAAAAGTTAGAAATTTAAAGAATATATATTTTTTATTATTTCATAACAACACAATTTCCCGATTTTGGATCAAAAAAGTACATCTTATAGATTTATAGTATAACATACTATATGACAGTAAAATGTAATTATATGTGCTTTGAGGTTTGATCATCTGGCTCTAAAGCAGGGTCAGCGTATCTCCCTGTTTTATTCCTTTCGTTTTCTCCCATGAACATAGCATGTAGCTCAAAAACAACACAGTGCGGCACTTTCTAAACCACCACAGATGCGGCCCTCGATGCTCCTATTTAAAATAATTATTTAAAAAAGAGCCAAGGGACCCTCTATGATGCCCTTTTACTGGAGGAAACGTGATGAAGTTCTGTGCAGGGTTGTCATTTAGATGACATGTTAATGTCATCTTTTTAGATGTGGTTACAAGAAGTGAGTCCCATCACTGCACTTTGTCCAATTAATGCTAAATTCAAAGGGAATACTGTTTTTATTATTGTTAATGAGAAGGCAGTTGTGTATTTAATTCAATAAAAATGGTGGCTTCTGCGGTCTAGCAGTGGACCTGGTACAGACCTGTGGAAGTAAAACCGCTGTCTTATAATCTAATAATAATAATAAAAACTATATTTTACGCTTTGAATGTTTGTTGGAGTGTCCTCAAGATGCTTTAAACAGAATCAGGCGTAGTGGTTTTTAACTCTGTCTTTGTTCGTACATATTGCTTTTAGTCTGACTCTTTTCGAGGTAACCCTGAGCAAGGCAACGTTCCCTACACTGCTCCCCGGGCGCCGTTCAAAATGGCAGCACACTGCTCCTAACACTAGGATGGGTCAAATGCAGAGAAACAATTTCCCCACGAGGGATTAATAAAAGTCCATCTTATTCTTATTTGTTATGCATCTGCTCCTGGGGTGGTGCATCAGGTGGGGTCAGCTGTGGATACTTCTCCGGTTATGTTTTTGAATTAGTTTTAGAGATAATCTGGGACATCCATCAAAATCCAGATCATATAAAAATGCATTGGTGTTGTCATACAGCAGCCTTCCCCATCGTACTGTAGTTAGATTTCTCTCTTCACTCCAGAGGTTCAGCTTCTTACTGTAGAGTGAGCAGGAAAGCAAAGACCCCTACAGATGAGATCTAGATCCCCGTCATCAGTCTGCAGGCTAGCAGATTCATTACCAGCAGCTTCATGTTCTCACTCGTGCGTGCGTGTGCGTGCGTGCGTATGTGTCCTGGATTGCAGCCATTTCTCCATTTAAAAAAACCACAAGATTTGCTTTATTGATCCCAATTAGGGAAATGTTTTCATCGCAGCAGCATGTTAAAACAAAGCATTGCACATTATGTCAACATGAAAGAGTATAGCAAATAAGGAAACATAAAATATTAACTTCAAATAGAAAAAACAGAACAAGTAAGATATATTTTCACAGTGAAAGATAACAATTTTTATTTGTATTTTGTGACGTTAAGAAACTACACCCTGGATTTAGTTTTTAACACTGTTGTAACAGATAACACATTTTGAGTCTAACAGACAACAGATCAAGTTTATAGTTATAATGTGCAGGCTGATGAGGGAAAGTGGATGCAGCTGAGAGCAGGAGGGTCAGAAAATCAGAGCTGACGAGGAAAGGAAGAACAGGTGTGAGGTGGGAGGGCATGAGAGGGCGAGGGGATCTGTAGACAGGTCCGGAGCGTGAGGGGATCTGGAGACAGGAGCTGCAGACAGGGCATGGAAATGAACCAGAGTCTCCATGACATTGGCAAAAGAAAGGTGTTCTACAGAGAATAATGCATGACATACATTTAATTACTTTCTCAAATAATGATTACGAAGAGAGACAGCCACGCACTTACAAGAGATGTTATAACCCCGTTAGAACCCTGCGCTGCCATGGTTCACAGTCACCCTACATAATGTGATAAAGCTTATAATAAGGGCTGGCTCAGGCTTGCCTTAAACAGTCCTATCCTCATATATATATATATAACATATATCTTCACATAAAAAAACAGTGATACTCAAATGAGTTTAGATACTTACCTGAAATCGCTAGGATTAGGGCCACATGTGAACAGTTTTTTTAGATCTGAAATCAAAGTCATCAAAGAAATTGTTACGGTATCTGAGAGGACCCAAACGCAGGACACGGCAGAGTGTTGAAAAAGGGTTTATTTAGTGAAGGAGGTGCGGGGAGTATAATCCGGCTGGAGTGGCGAGGACGTGACGGCAACACGGCAGTCGGAGAATGATCCTGGAGCACAAGAAGAAAACAAGTTAGACGCTATACATCCAGGTATGAGTAAATAACTATAATGCTAAGTAGCCTTGGAGTTATACCACTTGGGTTTTACAACGATCTGGCGCCGACAGGTTGTGGAGCCTCCGTTGATATGCCGTTGTAAATGGCTTGATGGGAATCAGGTGTGTAGTGGAGGGTACACAGCTGATTGCAGCAGGTGAGTGGAGGTTGAACCGGGAGCCAGGAGTGACAGCCACCACGCCCACACAAACACAGACAGGGGAAAAGAAAACAAACACAAAGGAGACGGCTGGAAGAGTACAGCCACCAGAGAAAAAAGTAAGAATTATTTTTCGTCAGGAAAATCTCTGAACTCAATTTGTTTCCCTCAAAATTCAGACCTTTTTTAGAGCACACAAGAACATAACTTGTTATTATGATCTTTAATCTCAACAGAACAAAAATCTGACTTTTTACTCACAATTCTAAGATTCAGAATGATGAAGTTAATCTCTGAATTTGGACTGGTTTTTTACATTTTCTATAGGTTTAGGTGCAGTTCAATACATTTGAATTGTCATGACATTGTGAGCATTTAAATGTAACTAATGTTTAAAGTTAATCTCAGACAGTTTTGTCCATAAAAGCATTTACTGATGCTCTTTTGCAAGGACTTTGTGCTTAACGTTGTTTTATATAATTGCTTAGTGAATATGGTTCAGCCTTTGCTGGTCGGACAGGAAAAGACCTGAAGTGGTCGCCTTA